CTTATAAGAAGTTAACAATTGTCACATTATATCAATGTGGGACGAGTTGTTACAAACTACCCCACTTAAACTCCTGACGTCCTCGTCAGGCTGACATCAGGCTTATCCAGAATCTTCCTCCTTGTCATCGGCAATGTGGGATTTGCCTAAGATGTTACAAACACCCCCTCTTGAGGACTCATTATACCCGATGAGGCTTGCCCCACCATCCCGATGGTACAAGGATCGACTCTGATACCAACTTGTAACACCCCAAAGCCCAATGCAACGACCTAGCCCAATAACTTCGAATCCAACTTAAACCATGGTGGAAGTTATTGGTAGCCCATTACTTGAGACTTATAAGGAGTTAACAATTCTCACATTCTATCAATGCGGGACGAGTTGTTACAGTAACCAACATTAGGCAAGTGGCCTCGTTTGATTCGGTTCGACGTTTTTCATACTCATCCTGAATCGCCCGAGGTGCTCCGACAGCAGGTGCCTCAAGGATTGGTTCCTCTATGGCCCTATGCTTATTTTCCATCCTGAGAACAATTCTTAGGTTTAGAAGCCAATCCACATAGTTCAAGCCCGTAAGCTTGTCCTTTTCGAGGAGCCTTTTCAAACAAAAGTTTGAAATAGATGAATTCACGTGGTTTGACATTGATCAAATATAGAAAAACACTATTTTAGTGATTTGAATTAAATAATCCTTGTTAAAAGAAATTACCCAATTGTTCAAAACAGAATTTAATATAACAAAGCTAAGATCCATATTTCACTCTCAATTACGACGGGTTTGCCGCGGATCATAATTAGAAGCTATTTAGGTAGGTAACCATTTTACCAACTCCATCTTTGAAAAATTCTTATATCCTTGCGGGATTCATTGACATCTATTATGTCATTTGGCATGTTTAATCTCTTCCACACTAATCCTTTCTCGCGACATGTTTGTCATGAATCACGAGTCCAGATCGTAAATCAACCATATTAAGACACATGACATCTGGTCCAAGACTCTCGGATATCGCGAATGTCATTATTCCTAAAATCTAATCGACGTGTTGGCTTTAGCACCTTCCATACGCCGCCGAAAGATTATTAGTTCAAATATGCGCCTTAAATGGGTAGCGTGTGATTTACATTAAAAACAAGTTGTTAATCTTAGTTAAAACATTTTTAACCGTTTCATTTTAGCAAATTTCGTTTTAACCATTTTAAAACTTTACTATAAAACCAATTTTATTAATCTGCCAAAATGCACTTGCAAGTTTTTACTAACTCTTTAATAAAAAAAATTGTGTTTCAAAATATTTTAAATAATCTAGCATGCAAGACAGTAATAAATAAAACACAATCACATGCAAGTTAACAGTAACGTTTGCCTCAAACCTGTGCGTTTTTTCCGTGAGTCACCACGAGAAAAACATGGTCAAGCTAAGGGACTAACCTCCAAGATTTATGTGCCGACTCTCATTAAACTTGTCATTTCTTCAATGCTCGAGTGGATCCATGCCAAGACTTCAATCTGCATGAATCTTGTTTGTTTTCTTTGGTCCTCTTTTACAATTTGTAATAAAAACTTCCAATCTACTCTATACTATTTTACAAATACATAGAAAAGAAAACGACTCGCAGATCGCGCAAAAATTACAACCATAAAAAAACAATGAAAAAACAACCAAAACATCGCATCATATAGGTCTAATTGAGGCAAACTATTACTGGATCCATACAAACACAAATTTTGTAATATAATGCAATGGAGTGCCAAATACATGTAATTGCCAACACTTTGATAAAAATTGATTGTTACATACACTTAGCCACTTTAAATTTAAATCAATCTTTGCTTGAATATTTTAATGTCATCAAAATCAAATTTTGACAAATAAGCATACAAACACACTTTATACTTTTGTAAGTATGGTTTCATGCCAAAATTATCCAAACATAAAGTATAAAAGTGAATCAAAAGTTTGAGAAAACACATTTAAATAAATTTCAACAATTGAAATAAAGAAATCGTTTTCATGGTCTTTTATTTAAAAAAAAAAAAATTCAAATACCTAGCTTTCACAAAACTTTAAAATCCGAAACTTTTATTCTAAAATACTCCAAGTCTTAAAATAACCTTTTCCAGAAGGGGAACTTTAATTTTGCAAAACTTCAGTTTTATGGTTTAAAACACTAGACTTCCAAAATAAGAAACTTTATATTTTGTAAAACTCAAATTTAGGGTTTAAAATAGAAATTTTTTATATCCTAATTTTCAAAATATTGAAAATCTATGTTTAAAAAAAAACTTAATTTCAAAATTTAGGGTTAGAAACCCCTACTTTCAAAATTAGAAACCTTTTGGTTTTGAATCACTCAAAACCTATATAAAACAACCTTAGAATTTTTGTGTGTGTTTCATAGATTCAATTTTCCCTTTTAAATGTATGACAACACACCCAAAACAAATTCTAATAAAAAAACTGATTTCTTTATACTTGTATTATTGTAACTGTGGCTCTGATACCACTGTTGGGTTGTGATAAATTTCGATAACCAAGGGATTAACAGCAAAAACAAACAAAACCAAAAATCACAACCTTCCAGAGATCTGGTTACAATCCGATACAAGTATCAAGACAAACATAGAGGGTGATTATAAATACCTTTTAGATGGAAGTGAAGAACCCACTAGCAGAATCCTCTCTATCGTGTTCACACTCCAAAGCTTCAATCATTAGTAAAAAACAAGAAATCACCTTTTGCTTCTTGTGCAATCTAAAAAAAACCACACTTTATATTGATAATATGTATGTGCTTTGTAGTTTTTGGCCACACACCCTTAAGGAGAGGGCGTGGGCGCAGTCTTCTAGAGGAGAGGAGGAGCTCAAAGGTGAATTAGGTTTAGGGTTTAAGGATAAACATCTTTTTATAAGGCCTAATTCAACTAAATCCTAATTAGATTATAGCCCAATCTTAATTAAACCCAAATAGGTTCGGACTAACAACCAATTAATCCCTCTAGTAATTAATTAACACTTTTAATTAATTACCTATTAAATTCTTAAATATTATTTCTTGCTTTTACATCGATAAAGCTTTGTGGGCAACCAAGCCATGCATTTTAAGTGTATCACTGTTTTATTATGCATATGACAGAATATTAATTATAAGAAAGTTGAGGACCAGAGTCGCAAAATGCATCATCGCCGACTCCTCATCCTCTTTCTTTATATAGCTTAGCTAAAGCCCGCATTTGATGACCGCTCGAATCTCGGTAAACACTTGACTGGCAGCCCACCTAGGTATACTCTTTTTGAATCCATTTTCGCTATAAATATATCCAATTTTTCTTTCATCCCATGACCGGTAGTAGTTGGTAGCTGCAGATCAGAAATGACTTCAGAGACCAAACTTCTTTCACTTGAGGAGGTCTCAAAGCACGATTCCAAAACTGATTGTTGGCTTATTATTTCAGGAAAGGTCGGATCTTTTCGCATCTTACTTTTCTAGTCGGAATTTGTTCAACTTTGTTCTAATTCTATCACAACATGTACTTTTTTGTGTGTGACTATATTCTTGGTTGCATGTGATACCCAGATCTGTTTTATCCATCTAAAATTCAAATCACCGTTCTTATTTGAGTGGGTTATGATTATATAAATGTATGTGTAAAGGGCATCGCTTTATTTGTGCATTTCTTGGTTAATCCGTTGCCGTTGGTGATCTACGTGTTATGTTTCCTGGTGAAAAAATTGATTAGGGATCTGACGATTTTAACATGATGTTGGTATTTGGTCCATCACCTAACTACCTAAGGGGTAATACCCAGGAGGGTCATGGTTCAAAAATTTCAAATCCCCCTTAGTGGTAGATTCGAAAAGTTTTAGGTCAATATTGTTCCAATTCTAGCCACGTACTTTTACTCAAAAACTTGTGTAGCTATTGAAAAGATGTAATTCCTCCATTCATAAGTGCTTCAAGTGAGATTTACTGCATTAATGCAGGCTTCAAACAGAGTAGTTTATAGAGGTGAAAGAATCACAAAGATTATGATTGCAGGAAAAATTTGGTTTGTACGTTCCCTATGTGTCTCTATTAATACAGAACTAACTCATCTTTTTGAACCAATATAAACAAACTGACTTACTCAGAGGAGTTAAAGGACTGTATAACAGATTTGAGAATGGTATTTTCCATTGATAGGCAATAGGATGATACTGATAGAATATGTACAGTGGATGGTCTATCTTAGGTAATTAGGTATAGATGATTTGGTTTAAATTGAACACCATTAAGTGGGATTCTATAAGCTTAAGAATCGACCTATCTCATCAGTTGAGTTGTCCACGTTCTATCTGGGAGATGGTAAATTTACATGATTGTAAGCAATGTTAACAATGTGGATGGAGAATAATGTGTAGAGGGATGCAAAGAGAAGCTGCTATGCCTACATAGAAGTAAATATTTTCTATGGTATTCAGTTTACTGGATGGATTAATATGATTGAATATGGCCTGTCTCTACAAGTGTTTTAGTAAACATATGCACAAGCATTTACCTCCTTTGGCAGTTACCAGTTATATGACAACTCAATCCTGGCTATTTGCTATCCACTCGCCAAAAGTGTACTAACAGATGATGTCATGCAGCAGCTTCTGATTGGCGGGGACATTTAGGGGTTGTTTGGTTGGTTTTCCATTAAGTCCCCTATGGATAAAGTTGTCTATGTGGATTAATCTGTCTGTATAGAATGAGAAGGTTTTGGTTTAGGAGGGTTTTTCATAAATGGGAGGAGCATGTTTTTATTAATTGGGTGGGGCAGGTTTGGAAAAAACTTGGCTTTCTACATAAAGCTCCCTTCTAGAAGCTTACGGAATAAGTCACTTTCTATATCTTTAAGCCACTACCAAACAGTCATCTATCTGACTGAATAAGTCGAGTCCCATTAAGCTCATTAAGCTGCTAACAAACAGGTCCTTACCCATATTAGCAATTCAAGAAGCATGTCCTTACATCATCTTAAGTCTTTCCTCTATCCTAGTGGATGTTGAACGCTTTCATATGCACAACTTGTACTTTCAAACTTGAAAGTAATCCCTAATTTTTTGTAGCTAAAACTTTGCAATTGATTAAATGTAGAAACCAGTCTACTTGTTAACATAAAGATTAGGCTACTTAGATGTTCATCAGATCTGAAGTATCTTATAGTAGTCAGGTTACTTAACTGCTGATTTCACTGCTAACTAAAGCAACTCAGCATGAATATCACTTTTGGTCATGTATTTTTTCCCTTTGTTTGAATGAGGTCTGTTGTACTACTTCATGACCAGTAACCTAGCTCTTATCATGACTATAGGACCACGAGTATGTGATGGATGACCATCTCTGTCAGGTTACTAGAGTTGACTGCAGGAAAGCCTCTATGCTCAATAGCATAAGCAATAGTTACTTAACTTAGGTAATAAAATATAGGGTTAGGTTTCGGCGAGAATGAGAGTTATAGTGAGAAAGGTAAGAAGGGATCACCACCCTTGGATCAATCCTAATTGAAGAGTTCCACTATATCAACACTAATTGGAAGCACCAGATCAATTCCCTTCTAAAACGCAATTCATAGGTTGGTTTGAGATAAAAGTGATCAAGGTTCCAAATCTCTTCTTACACTTCTCACCTTAACTCGTATTCTCACGTGGTCCTTCGTCTAAAATATATTAGATGAAGTCTGGATGGCTTCTATGACTCCTCAACCGACGTAGTGGTATTATTGGCTTGCCTGCAAGTTTGCAACCCAGACTTGTGGTTTTCAAACACGTTATATTAGTTGGAGGGGTTGCTCATTATATACAACCGAACATCCTTCTTGTTCATTTGCAATTTGTGATTCACTTAAAGATGTTACAAACACACCCTCAAGAACTCATCGTCATTGATGAAGTTTTCCCGACCATCCGAATGGCACAAAGATTGGCCATGTATCATTTTGTGACACCCCAACCAATGTAGTGATATTATCCACTTTGTGCTCAAGTTGCAACCTGGACTACTCTAAAATGCATTAGTTTAGTTGGCGGGGTTACTCACATACCTGTGTTAATTTTCTTGTCCAAGTTGATGGCTTAAAAGAACCAGAATCCCAGCTTACTGCAAGGGAGATGAAAAATCTATCTGTAGACGGATTTCTGAAAGCTGGAGTCAGATTAACACCCATAAAGACTGCTTAACCTTTTTTGTTGCTTTATATGTGCAAAGAGTGATGAATCTTGGGATTACTATCTTTTTAAGGGAAATGGCGAGAAAGTGATGGTCCACTATCTAGAGTACCACAAACAAGCATCCAAATTGATTTTTAAATGGTTCACTATGTATCTGGAGGGGTAAGTCAGTGTTGAAAATTTTATTTAAGAGGATTAGAAAACAATAATATTAAATCTTTATAAATAAATTTTAGAACTTTATTAACAAGGAACAAAACCAAGATCTATAAAAGGAACTTTATAGTTCGAGATAAAAAAACTAAAGACCAGAATCTAAACCAAACCAATATACCCACACGGGTTTGAATCTATCCTTCGCGATAGACACAATGGAAGAAAGGGGTAGAAGCAGAGCGTACACAAAGTGAACGAAAATTAAATACAATGCCGAAAATTGAAATACCAACCTGATGTTATTGAAGCACGTAAAAGTAGAGATCTGCACGGTACAAAACCTGTCCTTAAAGGTTTTATACGACCACCGTATAAGCTGTCGGTCTCAAAGTCGCAAAGCCCCATGATTGATGTAAACCGGATTTCGAATATTAACAGCTTTGATATCGAAATCAAAGCAAGGTGGTTGCAGAAAATTGGTAGAGTAAGAGAAGTCGGAAGCAACAATCGATTAGAAGAGAAACTGATTTTTTTAGAGTGCGATTTTCAGGTTTGGCTTCAACCCAGTATTTATA